AGGTTTGCTCGTGCATATTTCCTCCTGATTTCGTTATATTGATGCCTAAAACTTGTTCTGATCACCTTTTGTTTGTTTGTTTGCGTTTGGAATGATAAAAAATGCATTCAAATCGAGTCGGCTATGATTGTTAAGCTTCACCGGAAATTCCAAACCCCAAAGGAGCTCGGAGATCTTCGCCGGAGCTTCATTTTTTTGCCATAAGCCACCCAAGTCAGTTAATCCTTTCTCTGATTGATGTGCTAATGTTGATTTGGATCGTTTTAGATGGCTAGGGCGATTAGAATAAGGATTTAAAGCTTGGAAAAGCTTGTTTTGGTCAGTTATGACTTAAGGTTTTTGAATCGGTTTTTCGCCGGTCAATAGTAGTTCGTCGGTGTAATGGTTAGGCTAGATTGATAGTGGATGATCAAAACAATATTCAGAACCTGAAACAATGGTAAAAAACTCACCGGAAGGTCGTTGATGGCGAGCTCAAACCGGCGGCCTTGAGGACCTTCAAACCTGGTTTGTGTTCACCAAGTGCTCGACCAAATGCCCCAATGAAAAAATGTCAAAACGGCGCCGTTTTGGCGCTGAGTTCGCCGAAGAAGACAACCGGCGACCGGCGCCGGTGAGGCCCGTTTCGGCTTGGCCTAACCGGGTTGAACAGGGTCGGTCCGGTTCGTTTTTTAGCTGGAATTTTAAAAAATAAATAAAATATTGAAAATATTGAAAAATCGATAAAAATAATAAAAAATCTAAAAAAATTCATAAAAAAATAAAAATTCAGAAAAATTTTAGAAATTCAGAAATTTCAGAAAAATAGGAAATTCACAAAAATATAAAAAATCAGAAAATTCAAAAAAATTTCAGAAAATTCATAAAATTCAGAAAATTCTAAAAATACAAATAAAAAATGTGAAAAATTCAGAAAATCAATAAAAAATTCGAAAATTCGAAAATTCATAAATATTTTCAGAAAATCATAAAAATCAATTCTCGGTTAATGAAATGATGAGAAATTCAATTTTCGAAAAAAAAAAAAAATTAAAAAATCGAAAATTTCAAAAATTCACAGAATAGTTCAAAAACACTGTGGCCAACCTTAGAAAGTGAAATTTGAATTTTTGGAAGTTCCCAAGTGGCATTTTTAGAAAATCTTAAATTCAGGGGTTATAACTCTTAAAAAACCCTAAAACCCTAAAAAATGCAAATCATGAAATGAATAAGCTTTTAGGGCTTCATTAAGTTTTGGATGTCTTGATTGATTTTCATTTTTAGAGACCATTTAGGATTGATTGATTTGATTGACATTGATTGCGCATTTAATTCTTGATTGATTTTCCTGCGATTAGAATGGATAGAATTAGTGGGTAAGCCTCGGAAACTTGCATGACACGTTAGACATCGTATCGTTCTTAGGTACCGAAAGGGCGTTAGGGATCTCGATTTGGGATCATTAACGTAACCAATTCCCCGTACTCAGAATCTCTGGTTCGTAGAATCGTGGTATTTCTCCCATACCCCGATTAGGTTTCTAGTCTACCTGCCAATAATGACTAGTGGCGACTCCAAAATAAAAAATTTAGACTAAATAGGAAATTACCATCCGCTGTCACGTGAGATATGGTCTGGGAGAGACCCTTACACGGAAATACCTCCTTAGCGCGCAAATCCCAAAAGTCCAAAAAAAAAAGTGCGACTCGACACCCGGATCGGACTTGAAGTACTCAGGCGATCTCGGATCGGCCATGTCGTCGGATGGCTTGAGTTTGGATTCAACAGGCTCCGGCTCGAGGTCAAACTCCATAGGCTCCAACTCGGGATCCGAATCTTCAAGACCGGTGTTCGGACTAGTAACAACTCTGTCTGGTGGAAGGATCTCTATGGGGTCCTACTCTTCTACTCTGTCATCAGGGGGAACATCAAATCCCCAGAGTGGACCAAATAACTCGTCTCTATCCCGGTATAACCAAGTCAAGAATGTATGTGGCTTCCAAACGGTCTCGCCCTCGTCTACCCAAACAGTACTAGCATGCCTAACGTAAACCCTACCTTCTCCCATCGGGTATTCCATCAACATATGCTCCATATGCATCGGTACCCCAAAACATTGCGGTGGATCATTCATGTTCATGGTCGAGGGTCTGAAATGTTTGGGATATAACAATGAGAATAAATCTCAATAAGTAACTACCTAAGCCTCGCTTAGGCTAACACATACCTTCGGACAGTTCCGAACATGCAATTCTATCAATCAACGTGCCACATCAATCACAGGCGCTCTTACCTCACCTTGGCACATACACAAGCCCTGCACGTTAGAGAACTACCACAACATAGCAAACACTCATCGAGCATAACAACCCAAATCAAAGCACGAACATGCATAGCACACTTAATAATCTAGACATGTCCAACGTTAGTCTCAAACATGGCTTTCTTTAATGCAAATCACACTTACTAAGTCCAGATTATTAACGGCCCCTCGGGCTCCCCCTGAACCTATGTAAAGCGCATCAAGTTATCGGTCTTCAGGTGTAACCGGGCATCGTCCCACTACGTCGGCGACGGTAACGTCCCACGTTAAACGCATCAAGATGGCATTCCATGAGGTGCATCAATTTGGCCTCCACTGCGATTGGCATCCAGGCCCCCACCGGGCATATGATAAATCGGGCATCGTCTCGCGTAAAACGCATCAGGACGGGTTAAATCCCCGCATAAGATGCCTCAAGGCATTATATGATCACACGAGCATTCAAGCACTCATACCAATTCTCATCTTTTTGATTAGTCAAATGCCACTAAATCTGTACTCATCTAACAAAAAGCCGCGCCTCTCATATGCAACAATAACATTGAATAGTTCTCAAGAGAGAGAAAATCAAACTTGCACAAAACCGGGGCAAATCTGGGTGGCTGCACAGCGACCGAAATCCTTTCAAAATAAATAGTAATTCAACTCCAAAAATTATGAATTTTTGATATGTCATAGAAAACATCTTGATAAACATTTTTCATGAAGAACATGAAACCCAGTTCTGAATGTAAACACCTCTTTTTGTCACTCGAAGTCAGACAGAAATCAGTTCGTTCGGACAGGCCGACCGGTTTTCAAAATGCATCTCAATCAATACCCAAATCTATTTAGAAAGCTTTAGAATTTTTATATGTCATAGACACAAGTGTCCTTAACAATTTTCATGAAGGAAGTGTGTTGAAAAGAGGCTTGAAAAATTTATAAAAATTTTGAAAAACAAGAAGGTCGGGTGAACATAATTCCGGCAGTTTTGAGACGGTCCGAAAATGGGCTTCCGAATGACCCCAAAAGATCTCCAAAAATTCTAGATTTAATTTATTTATACTTCAAGATGTTAGGGACAATTTTCACGTGGAACACCACCTCAGATTCAGCCCACACAAGTCTCCACAAAAATAACAAAACACAGAGGCACAACAGCAACCAAACCTAGAATCAACCAACAAAGAACCAACAAGCAACCAAACTCATCCAGCCACTAAATCATCTCTAAACAGCCCTTAATCAGCCCTTACACATGCCATTAGTACCCCATTATCCTAACCAAGGTTTAGGGAGCACTTACTAGGAATCCTAAGCAAAGCCAAGCCAAGAAAGCAGCTGCTTCGGCGGACGGACGGGAGGCTCGGCAGCGGCGCTGGTTACAGGCGGGCCACGGCTGGGACGAGCACGGGGTGGTGGTGACGGTGAGGGGCGGCGCTGGTCTCGGCTAGGGGTGGTGGTGACCGAAAATGAGAAGGAAGGAGGGAGAAAGAGAGAGTGGTGGCGGTGGTGAGCAGTAGCGGCGTTCGGCGGTGGTTCTGGTGTGTCTCTGGTAGCTGAACGGTGGTTGAAGTGGCTGAGTTGGTCCGGCAAGGTGGAAGGGGAGAGGGTCGGCCGAAGATGGTGAGAGCAAGGGAGGGAGAGAATGAAGGAGAGAGGGAGACAATGATGATTGATCATTTACTAACCCCACTAATTCACAAAACCCCAATAGGAACCCCACTATCATCCAAGGGTCTAGAATCCTTCTCCTTCCCCAAGCCAAGATTTAATGGCTCTTAAATTTCCTCTGACTAATTACCCAAAAATACAAATAGCAAGAAAATAAATAAGCAAGGAGAGGAGGGGCACAATGGTCCAATAAGTTCGGCCATTGGAGGGAAAATACTAAAGTCCAAGTTGCCCTTTAATGTCTCAAATGAATTCAAATATCCTCGGGGGTAAAATGGTCTTTTCCAATACCCAGTCCAAATTACACTTTTCCGATAATTCCGAACGATCTAATAGTTGGCCACGCTTGATGAGACGACGTTTGATAAATTTTCGTGGAATCTTGAAAGTTCGACATCCCATTCCAGATTCTAATTCATGGCCAAAACTAATCAATCGCGACTTTAGTATATTTCAAACTAACGAGCGGCTTTTAGAAGTTACGCGTATCAACCAGTGGCCGATTCGATATCGAGCCACATCTAAGCTTACTTGAGCCATGACGACCTCGGTTGTCATGTAATTGCAAGGGTCAATCACTAGTTCCAATTGACGCGATCGTTTAGATTAGGTTTAGGATCGTTCAAAATTCATACAATGGTCAAGCGGAATCACCCACGATCCAATTATATACAACATTTGCGAATTGTTCCATAACCATCCTTGAATCGGCCTATAATGGCCCAAAATATCTCCTCGTCAATCCTTATGGTCGAAGTATCGATCCATGGCCAAGTTCTTAGGTCCACGTAATTGATTCCTAGCTAGCCATTTCCTAACGGTTAGTCTTCTCAAGAGTGATCAATTCCGAGTAAGATTTAACTAAAAGTGCATCGAAGATATATATTCATTTCATAAATCCTGAAATGTGTCGAATTTCAGAATGTTACAGACACGATTTTATTTGCAAAAGAGGATTGATTAGAGATTAAATGTTGGAAAGAATTCAAGGGAGGATGGAGATGTGGTGGATTCGAATTTGTCAAAAGGAGGCTTAGGTTTGATGGGTGAAAATGTCAAAGATAAACCGGCGTGGGTACGCATCAAGCGATATGTCTCCCTCTTTTATGGTATATATAAAGCTAGCTATACAGATCCACATGATGATGATGGTGAAGAAAACGCTTTTGGCAATGTCACAAGACTAGCAAGAGAACTGACCGATTTTGGCGTGGAAGACGGTGTGTGCGCATTAGAGTTTATATAGTAGAGGCTCTAAATATGGAATGGGGTCGGTAGGTGACCCAAATGGTACATGAATTTTAACTTAATGTGCAATGTGGTCCCTGAACCTTAGCTCAATATGTAATGTCGCTCATGAACTTTTAATTTGTTGAATATGGTCTATGGATTTTTGGTAGATATTCAATTTAGTTCGTGGACTCAACATTGAATATTTTCATATACTCCATTGTCTATATTAAACATGTACCAAAATTTCATGTACAGCCATTTGGATTAAGCTACAGGTATATGGGCGGTGGATTCAAGGAGAGGGCCAGGACAAAATAGGGTTTAGGGTTTAGACAACTACCACGGAGGTAGAGGGAACTCTCTAGACTATAGAGGTTCAAGATAAATTTTTTTCTTGATATATGTTTCCATGACATCTATTTCGAAGAAAGCGGTGTACCGTTGGATACCGGACTGGTTGATTGGGAGGCTGTGTTTGCAAATGTGGCTCTAAAGAAAGCAAGTCCTAATTACCATGTGCTCATAGAGATTTCTTGCATTCATTCCCCTGATGAGCTTTTGGAGGTGATAAAGGCCTACAAGCTTTGCTACAAGCATTCCTTGGAAGAAGATGTCCCCACACATACCACCGGCAACATCCAATAGGTACGTTATAAAGCGAGCACAAAACTTAGTACTAATAGGTTACCCATTATGGAATTCAAATTCGCCTTTACTAGGTCTAGATGAGAAAATGACAAGGTAGTTATTGTTAATGTACCACCGAGAAATTATCTAATACTTTTATGCTTTTACTTGCGATTTGGAATGTGAATTCAAAGATTATCTAATGTTGGCTCTCGTTATGCAGCTCTTGGTTGGTTTAGTGAGTGTGTATAGGTACGAAGGAGAAGAGATCAATGTGAGGTTGGCGAACTGGGAGGCTGATGTTCTTCACACTGCCATAAAAAGATGAGGCCTTTAACAATGAAGAGGCCGTAAGAATCTTGAGCCCAGGAGCAAGGCTTAGCTCAGGGCCATTTTCAACCGCTACCGAGATGACCAGGGCAGTCCATCACTAAGGTACCGAATATGTTCGTTCATATATGACTTATGTAGCAACTTTCCTAATAATTCTTTTGCAAAAGACCCGCCAATTCATGTTACTACTTAAATTACTGTCAATTGTGTTTGTGTTTCTGGTGGGTTTCGAATTTGATTTCTCTCACATTGTCTGGTTTCAGAATATACTGGCTGAAACATCCCGATGACTTCTTGGTGGCAGTGCGCACGGCGGTTCGGTGCCTGAATGATCCCAAAAAGTACTTTGAAGAGGTTAGAGCAAATTGTGTTACATTGCATATTTGCAATGTAGTATTAATAAGGTAGATTAACCAATTATGTCAAGCACGGGTCTTGTGCAATGCAATCAAGAGGGCTGGGATGGATGAGGATGCACTGATTCACGTGATCGTGACTAGGGCGCAGAAGGAACTGAAGGAGATCAAGGAGGAGTATTACAAGAAAAGCAGTGTGTCGCTTGACCAAGCAGTGGCCAGGGACACCTCAAGGAATTGCAAGGCCTTCTTGCTCATCACTCTCCTGGGCAAGGAAGAGTGATCAACCTAACTATTTTCCCATATCGCATATTGATCTTTTCATCCTATGAACTTATTAACTATTATGAGCTTTGTACGATTTCGTCCGGGACTTTTTATGTCGACAATGCTTGTTACTTGGCATGTCTCAACTATCTCTATATGTGACATTTGTCTTTGCACAAGCACTTCTTCCATAGAAAGCACTCCTTTATCGATCAATCACTTGGATGGAACTACGTCAAATGAGATATGGGTGTTACACCAAAAGTGTCGAATACCATGAGAATCACGACTCTTGTCGCTCTGCAACGTTTGGCTTTCATCTTCTTTTGCACAAAACATTCGAACAACCATCCACAGAACAGATAGTAGTAGCTGCAAAGTCGACAACTTTGGTTAGCCTCCGATCAATGTCCGACCATATAGTTCTGCAGAGAGTGGAAGATAGAGGACAAAGATTGTGGTTCTTGAGGTTTTGATGTGGTTTGAGCTATAACATGAATGTGTCCCTTGCTTATGCATTGCTAGCAAGGGGGATTTCCTTGGTGCTACTGCTGGCTGTGAATAAACATTCTTAAGCAATGTGGATTTGAGAAGCTCCAATAAAGCCAGAAAAGCCAATACCCAAACAAGAAAATGTTGTAAATTAAGTTGGATCGCAATCGATCGTTGCGGAATTCTAATTGTCAGAATCGCGCAAGATCTTGCCCTTTATTCTCTTTGCAAAAAAAAAAAACATAAATAGCATAACAAAAAAAAGAACGATACACTAGAAGTTTTTACGTGGAAAACCCAATATAAGAAAAACCACAGGACGCTGATCCAAGAACTGCTCCACTATAATCAAATGATTACAATTAACACCCTAACGGTGTTTCTCTTACAATAAATTCTCACAATTGTCACAAAACATATCTTCACTTGATGAACTCTCAAGATCTCTTGTGTTTACGCATATTGTTGAAGACTCTTGTGATTTATCTAGAATATTTTCAGGTGCGCACCGAAACCTCCACCCAAGCCCTTCTATTTATAGCGGTAGATCTCCATTCAAGTTAAGAATCCTTCCTAATTGATTGAAAATCACCTCCCAATTAGAAATCTCCCCGATTTATTGGAATTTTTGGGCAATCATTAGAATTGATTCCATCATAGTATTCTTTTTAAATATGGAAAATGCCACAAAAAACCCCAAACTATACCACTTGTGACAAATTTACCCTAAACTTTTTTTTGTGACACAAAAAACCCAAAACTATGCCACTTGTGACACATTTACCTCACAATACTTTGGCCCAAGGGCATTTTCGTCTTTTTCCTTTTTCTGTTTTTTTTTCCTTTCTTCTGTTTTTCCTCTGCCAGCCATGGCGGAGGAAAGTTGGCGAAGGCGATCCTTGCCGGCGTTGGGGTTGGGCGAGGGCTGCCCTCGCCCGACGCCGGCGAGGGACTCGGGCAAGGGTCACCCTTGCCAGATTCGGCGAGGGCAGCCCTCGCCAGATTCGGCGAGGGCAGCCCTCGCCAGAGTAGGGCGAGGGCGACTCTTGCTCGACATTGGCGAGGGTTGCCCTCGCCAGATCCGACGAGGGTAGCCCTTGCCCAACCCCAGCGTCAGCAAGGGCCGCCCTCGCCGGCTTCCCTCCGCCGGCCATGGCGGAGGGAAGAGAGAATAAAGGAAAAAAAACAGAAAAAGGAAAAAGACGAAAATGCCCTTGGGCCAAAGTATTGTGGGGTAAATGTGTCACAAGTGGCATAGTTTGGAGTTTTTTGTGTTACAAAAAAAGTTCAGGGTAAATTTGTCACAAGTGACATAGTTTGGGGTTTTTGATGATATTTTCCCTTTTAAATAAGACTTCTTATTTAGATTTTTTCCTTATCTGCGTTTTACCATAATAGGACTCATTCCTATTAGGTATTCTTGATGAGCAATTTTCGAGATATTTCAAATCGATTCCCAAACATGTCGGGATGCTCCCAACAAAAAATGAAGAAGATGGATTGATCTTCTAAACGATGGTAAATCAAGGAGGCGATGATGACTCTTAAATTATTGTTCTCTCGTATTACATAGTTAATTGTTTGAGATTATTTTTGTAATTTTTTTATTATTAAATAGTGTCTTGAGTTTAATTTTTTTTTTGGGGGTGAGAAATCGATGTTATTTCAAATTTTTTGTCTCATTAATTTGCTCCTCGAAAAAGTCATCCTCTTGAGAAAATATGTTAAAAAACTATTCTTTTGTCTTACGGTCAGGTCAGGCAATGCCTCGGACTAATCTTGCACAAACCTCGATCGGAGAACTTTGTTATTACTTTCATGTAACATCAAGCTTTCCAAATTAAGAAGAATTCGACTTCTCTTTTTTCACAAACAATGACAATTGGATTCATTGAGCTAAGAGAAGCTTGGTATTACTGTATCTAGTAGGGGTGTGCAACCGGACCGGGTTTACCCGGAAACCGGACCGGCCCACCCGAAAAACAGGTCCGGGTACCGGTTCTTGTTAGAACCGGTTCGGGAACCGGTTCTTGTTAGAACCGGTTCGGGAACCGGTTCCATTTTTTTGGAACCGGTTAGAACCGGTCCGGTTTTCGGTTTCAAGTAAAAACCGAACCGGACCGGTTTTAGAACCGATTTTTAAGATAATGTAAAAAAAAAAACCCTAAATGAATATCACATTGCCCTACCTCTCTTCTCTCTTCGCCGCTCCCCTGTATCACTTCTCTCTTCGCCGCTCCTCTGTCTCAGTTCTCTCTTCGCCGCAAGATCACGTTCGCTTCCCCCGTCCGGCTCTCACCAGCATCCCTTCACTCCATCCACACAACGCCATCGCCAGACCCCACTCCCCTCCTCTCCAGCCAATTTCGCTGCACCCCCGCCCAAACCCATCACCCGCCAGCCACTACCCCCCGCCGCCGCCGCCGCCGCCGCTCGCCGCCGCCGCCTTGGCGCGGTCCGGGTTCGGCTCCCTTGATCTTCGCCCGGCCGCCGATCGTTGGTCCGGCTTCCCCCCGCGTCCCCGCCGATTCCCGATCCGAGCGGGCCGGGGCTTGCCGGCCGTTTCTTCTGCCCGGGACCAACGCTCTGCCCCTCTCGCGGAGCCGGAGCCGCCGCCGCCGTTGGTCTTTCGCCCAATCTGCTTTGGCTCGTTGCCGCGAGGAGCTGTCCCGAGCCGTCGCTGGGTGGCCGCGCCGAATTGCCGAGAGCTTTGCCGAACTGTTGCTGAGTAACCGTTGCTCTTCGCCCCCGCCGCCTGCCGCCACAGCTTTTGAGCATTTTTTTTGTCACGATCAGGTAAAGTGGAGCTCGGGTTTTGAAGCGATTTTCTTGAATTGGAGTTTGGAAATGATTGATCTTTAGATTTGGCGTGTGCCCTTTTTGATCGTAGTCTCAATCACGTGAAGCAATGCATGCTTGGTGCAATCGATATTGATCAAAATTAGTTGGTGTTTGGAGTTGAGGGGATTATTCTTGATTAGGATTCTGGAAATTTTTGATAAGGAGAGAAAGTGATGTCATTTCAAGTTTCAACTGTCTGTCGATTCTCTTCAGGCGCGCGCACTTGTCCCGAGTAAGATGATATACGATTGTTCATCCCTTCTCTTCTTGCTTCGCATCTCGGCCTCTTGTTCCAATTGTTGTTGTCTCTCACTGCTTGATTGATCCGGCTGCCTCTATATGCCCTTCGCTTCTCTTTCCATCTCTCGCACATCACCTGTTCGACTGAATTACCCCTGGCAATGAACTACGCCCTGAAAAAAATGAAACCAGAAAAAAGGAAAAAAAAAAACAGGTTCTCGGGTAGACCCTGAAACGGATCGGAAAAACAGGGTCGGTTCCAAAACAGGGTCCAAGTAAAACAGGGTCGGTTTCAGGTTCTATAAATTGGGAACCGATTATAACAGGGTTGGTTTCAGGTTCCAGGTCTGGACCCAACCCACCCTGGAACCGATCACCTCTAGTATCTAGTGATGATCCCACAAAAAATCTTCGACTTTTTCCTATATGACTTTTTTCTCCCTCTCATCAATATTCGAAACTTGTCCCAACAACTCAAAGATATCTCCCATTAGACTTTTTCCTGTTCACGTATGTTGCTACGCCAGAACTTTAATTGCCATTATGGATGGAGCTGTGACGGGATATAAGTGTCTCGTAGGTCAAAACTTAAGATTTTATTTTGGGTTAATACCACGAAAAACCTCAAATTAGTATATCTATGATAATTTTACCTCGAACTAATTTTTTGATCACTAAAAACTCTAAACTGGTACACCTATGACAAATTTACTCCGAACTATTTTTTTGACCACCAAAAATCCCACAATGGTACACTTGTGTTAATTTTATCCCGAACTAATTTTTTTACCATAAAAAATCCCAAATCGGTATACCTGTGACAATTTTAGTCCAAACTAATTTTTTGTCCACTAAAAACCCTAAACTGATACATTTGTGACAAATTTACCTTCCGTTAGTGTCTATTAAATTGGATTAATATCACGAAAAGTCACAAATTGATAAACTTATGACAAACAGAGGGGTAAAACGCCAAACTGGTACACCCGTCAACTATCTCGTGTTATCAAACTCGGCAATTTGATAGTAAAATGTAACGTAAACTAACAGAGGGTAAATTTGTCACAGGTGTGCCAGTTTTGGATTTTTGGTCGTAAAAAAATTAATTCGGGGTAAAATTGTCATATGTGTATCAGTTTAGGGTTTTTCGTGATCAAAAAATTAGTTCAGGATAAAATTATCACAGGTGTACTAGTTTGAGGTTTTTTGTGGTCAAAAGAATAATTTAGAGTAAATTTATCATAAATGTACCAATTTAGAGTATTTCGTGATATTAACCCCTTTATTTTTATAAAATTTTCCCCGTGAAAGTGAAATTCCCACAAACGGGCGTAGAAGCGGTTGAAAAAGACAATATCAAACTACCCACTGTCCAGTAATGGCTCCCCTCCCGCCATTAACAACCGTCAATCTGCCACTCCCTATGAAACCCAAAATGGCCAT